CTTGCCAAGTGAGAGAATAGGTGTCATTCCTGTGGATGGACTAAGGAATAAGGAATAGTTCACTCAGAATGCATAGTTGTCTCTCACTAGTCTGTGGGCCAGTATTGGTTTAGTCATTTCATAATCCTTCCTCCGTGAGATCAAGCAGCAGAAATGATGTGACAATGAGCAAATACTACTGACGGATAACTAAATAGAGTCTTACATGTCATACATATAAGACTTGTCATACCATATCACTGTTACATGTTTTTCTGGGCTGCATTAAAAAAGGGCAAAAATTGAGAGTATACCCACTTCTCCAGGGACCACTACACCACTGGTGGAGAGGTACAGCAGCGGGTGCACCACACTGGCAGCAGACAACAGCAAAATACACCTGCGTGTAACCACACAGTCGAACTCACATCCGCCCGCAGCCGTGAGCCTCTGCAGCAAAGTGACTGGGATGTAAAAGGACAGGGTGATGGCTGTGGTGGCAGCGATGGTTGTGAACGCTCTCTTCTTGGCGGGATGCAGCTTGTCTCTCCCTGGTCCGCGCTTCCTCAGCATCCACACGATATTGATGCTGCAGCGCGCCATCATCAGGATCATACACACCATCAGGATTAGTGGGACATTGTTTAACGTCTCCCTGTCCAGAGTGGAAACGCCCTGCGCTGCAAAAGCACTTGCAAAAGCAGTCGGCAGAGAGAGGAACCACACGGTCGCGGCACACACCTCACAGTATCTGTATCTCTTCAGCAGGGGGTAGGATGAGGGGTAAATGACAGCGACATATCTCTGAAGGCAGATGAAAGACAAACTGGTCGGCCCTCCGATTTGAGCGTACACAAACAAGAACCTGAGGATCTTCACCTGCTCAAGCGGAAACGCAAAGAGGAAGATTAAATGCACGATGGACATGAGGTACTGGAGGTTGTGGAACAGAGCTAAGTTACTGTTCAGAATGTCTGGAGTCTTGTTGGTGATGAAGGCGATCCACAGCAGTCCGGCGATCACCGGCTGTCCAATGAGAACAGTGAAGATGTCGACCAGAGAGAGCATCACCGTCTTCCCCAGGTCGCACTCACAGGCCTCATGCCTGCTGGAGTTCACCGTGGTGTTCCTGAGTAAAGCCTCCATCCTAACAGAGAGAGCTTCAGAGCTGGAAGAAACAGCCATCAGAGATGAAAACATTTATCTTAGCTCCATCCTCTGATATAAAAGTCTTGTCCTTAAGGTTTCCTTAAAATGTTGACTTAAGTATTTATGGTTTTCTCTTTATCTTAGTCTTAAACTTCAGGAATCACTTATAGTCAGTTAAATTGTTGCACAAAAAACCTCAGTGACCAAAGTTCACCTGCTGAAGTTCCTGTCAAAATAACTGGGGATGAGATCAGGGCTATCACAAGTACCAATCAACAGTCTCCATGGAAACAGTAGAATTTTACCGCTGTAAAATCTCTTTCATTGCTGTAAATTTCTTAACTTTTTCCTTAACTAACGAAACATTTTAAGAGGATCTGTGCAACACCCTTAAGTGACTACGGAGAAAATGAACCTTAAGTTAAAAAACTTGGATTGAGCCCTCAGGGCCACCGTAGAGTTCATATAAACACAAAAACACATGTTGTTGTCAAACATTAATACAGTATTACAGATTTAATTCAATGTATATAAGAGCACAATAGTAAACATAATAAACACTGAACTTACTTCCTATTTTTTCCTTGTTTTTTTGATGACACTGTCAATCATAAATATAATCACATAATTTGACCTTTAAAATGAAAGTCCTATCTCACCTGCTGTGTTCAGCTGGTGCCTGGATCTTGTCGTCAGCAGAATAATTCACAGACTGAAGAGAAGCAACACCTGATTTTCCTAATGGACGTAAAACAGGTGCGAGGCAGCCAGGCAGAACCAACAAACTGTGAGTCAGCGTGTCCTGATTTTCATAAAAGCTGGGTTTCTGTGCAGCTTGGGACAGAATCAAGAATAATAAATACATTTAAAAAACAAAACACTTCCAGAAAGCAGCAGTTTGTCGGTGCTGAGATTCATCCAGCAGGAGTTCAACAGGCCACAGGGTGTCAGTGTGCACCACAACATCTCCCATCCACACACTGCACTGGAGAAAGCTCCAACAGTAATGTTACATTGTGAAAAGGCTTGTAAAAACAGATTTCTGCAGTGGGATTATTATTATTATCAGTGGTGTAGATGAAGTGCTTCAGTTGTTTTTTTCCTCGCTGTAATCAAACACTGATATAGAGTCTGAATGACAGGGTGAACCTGTGGACGCAGGACAGTGTAGGTTGATGTATATGTTGGTGAGTGTTGTGGGGTTAATGGTTAATGGTGGTTGGATTGATTTCTCCTCTGCTTTTAGAGCGGCAGCAGAAATCAAACCTGCATTTGAAGCTCGATGCTTCCAAAAACAATCCTGCTGTTTTCTCTGGTTTCTTATGTTTGGAAACCCTGCAGTGATCTCTGTCCCGCCACACAATTAAAATACTTAAGTTATTTCATTACATGTTTTTATTATACTTTAGTTTATCTGACTGTATATTATTTTAAGTTGAGGCCAAGATCCTCTGGGTTTCAAGTCTTTCCTGACACGTCACACTCATTGTTCTCATTCACTTTTGCACCATTTCAACTGTTTAAAATAAACTTTGAACTATGAAGGTTGAATCAACACTCAAGCACATTGGTTAGTTTGTATATAAGAGAGTTTGCAAATACCTCAGACTGAAGCCGTGTGATGACTAACTACACTGACGACTCCTAACAGCACGTTGTTGACATTCCTGACACCTTGAAACAGCTGCATCAGTAAACATCAGCATCATCACACACATGCACTGACTGATGACGCCGTACAGATGAAAGAGATGAAGACTTATTTATTGACAAGTACACAAAATAGATCACAAAGCAGAAATATGCGTTACAGACTAACAATAACCTCCTGGTAAACATTTCAGTATGGCTTCTCTCATGCCCTTCACTAACATGGATTAAGACTCATAAATACAAATAAAACTGGGAACAAGTGTGTGAGCCTGTTCAGTTACATACAAACACTTTAGTACATAAACCACAGTATGTAGGTAACCATGTAAAAGAAGCTGTATGATAAACATGGATAAACTGAGCACATGCTAAGAGAATAAATATGAAAATACAAAAACAAAACATTAAAGAATTTATATATTTGTATTGCTGTTCATTGTTATTAAGTATTCTTTGGATTAGAGACCTTCTCAGGTTCAATGCTGATTGTTTACATTCTCACACAGACTGATGCTTCCTGCACGTTGCATAGCTTCCAGGGAGTATTAAAAGTCAAGCTTTGTCAAGACTGAGATGATTTTTCTTCTTTGATAAAAGTCCATCTAGTTTCACCTTAGCCAACAGTTCATGTTATTTTCAAGTCAGTGCGCAGTCCATATTATTTTTACCTCAACAATGACAAGATGACTCAGTATCTTGTGACCACACGTGGTTTTTTTTTTGTGCTGTTCAAGTGCATAAAGGCAGAAGAACCTGGTTCAAGGTTTTGGGAATCGTATCAACTGGAAAGTTTTGCCATCCCTGTTTGACTTCAAGTGACAGTAACTTGTTTTAACCGAATAAAAAAAATTTATACCACAGGTTTAGTGGTTAAGTGCTTGTTGTTGGTTGTGAATACTACAGAAGCTGAGAAAGGTCATACTGGTAAATATTTTTTTAAATCATCAGGAGAAAAAGATTTTTTGTTATCCTGAGATATCTGGAGATAACAGAGCCCGTTTTCTCATTATAATGACTTTGTTAATCAGAGATCAGATGCAGATGGAAACTTCTGGAGCTGTAAAGTGAAAATGTCAGGACGACGCATTGATCAACACATCAGAGAATATTTCAATCAAGGGCAGAAATCACACTGTGTCTTTTCATATGAGACCATTTTCAGATCCTCGTCAGCTGACGAGTTACTAAGGACTGTTGCTAAGGAGGAGTGTTACTGTGACTTAGTGTGTGAGGTTCGGTCAAAATCGTTTTCTGCTGATGATATCTTTATCTTTATCTTTATCTTTATCTTTATCGTTATCTTGGAATAATGAGCTTTGTTATCTTGAGATAACAAGATAAAAAAAAAAATACTTGCCAGTTTGGCCGTTCTCGGCTTCCGTAGAATACAGAAAATGTATTCAGTTTTTAGTAACTCTAAGTTGCCAAACAAATATGATTTAAAGCAAGACCATGCGACTTTTAACATCAGAGCCAACACATTCTTCCTGTTACAAATGAAAAGTTGATTCATAAGAAATAAAAACAAACCCTTCATCAATTCAACACACTGATGTTTTGCTGTTACAACCTCATTTGGTCTGGTATGACCATTAGCTTATGGTGGCTAATGTTAGCTAATGTTAGCAAACTCTAGACAGATATTACTGTGTAACGGACATTGCTCACTTTATGACAATCCTGTCTTTGTGCTAGTGTTACAGTATGTCTTAGCATTTTACCATTACCCCATAATTGTCATTTGTGGCCGCAGCAGCCACTCTTCAACAGAAGTTACATTGTCTCACTTTCATTTTGAATTTTGAGGTTGAACTTGTGAAGCCACATCTTTCCGTCTCCAGTCAAAGGCACTTCTCTGTTAAACTGTCTCTGTAAAGCCAGATATGCAAACTGAAGCAGTACAGACACTGTATATACAAATTACACAACACATAGGCACTGAATCATTTACAAACTGCAGCAAGAAAACACATATAAAACAATTCTTGGTCCCCTAAAAGCATATTTTATACCATGTTGTGTATGTGTGTGTGTGTGTGTGTGTGTGGGTGTGTGTGTGTGTGTGTGTGTGTGTGTTTGGGGTGGCAGGTTTGGTTGCTACATACTCAATCTACATGTCTTAAAAAAAGTCAGTCATGTGATTTATTCCTTGGATAATTTCTGCATAAAAGCTTTATATATGAAAAACAAGGCACATGTTGGACCCTGGTCGTCTCGACGATACATTTACAATTGTTCTCCTCGGATTTCCTTTGGCTGCTTCGTGCACGCTGTAGTCCGAACATGCAGAGCGCAGAGTCACCTTTGTTTGTTTTTTCCCTTTTTGTTTGTTTTCTGTGTCAGTTTTGCAGGTGACGGGAAACTATGCGTGGCTGTGGACGGAGATGCTGGACAAGTCGTTCCTGATGATCTCATTGACTGTAAAGGAAAAGAGAGAGAGAACAGGACGGTCCGTGAGTCAGTCACCATCCTGAGTGTTGGACAAGTGTGGACGAGTGTTCACAAGAAGTGTCATAAGCATTAATATGCAGCCATCAGAAAAATCTAAGTCCAGTATTTTCTCTTCTATTAAGTCAGGACAACGTTTAATGTCAATGTCAATTTGACATAGACTACTGACCACAGCTGATACTGATATTTTGTTGGTTTTAATGAAGCATCAACCTCGAAGGCTGAAACATGCAGCATCAATACTGAAAAACCAAAACCTGCAGTTCCTCTAATGACCACTAGAGTCTGACTCCAACAGTGAGTCAATCCCCATAGACTCCCATGTTAAAATGTCCAATTTTACAGCAGAAATAAACATGTTTACAGCCTGATACAAAAACAGTTTTGGTCTCTAGAGCTAATTTCCTCCTTCATGACACCTGTTTATATAACTCACCTGTTTACACTTTATTAAGACTTAAATATATGGAGAACTGAGGGCGTGGCCTCTTTAAGTGACAGCTTGCCACAAACTGTTTCGCACCAAAGTGTCTGCCCCACACACGCCCCTCCTCTTTGGATTTTTGGATTAGCTGGGAGTTAGGGGCGGAGTCAGACACTGCCAAGATGGCGACGGTGGAGCAGCTCACACTGAGCTTCAAAACTGCTCTTCAGAAACCTGTGGGTGACATCTATGGTTTTAAGTTGTGTTGTTACATAACCAAAATCTAAAGTCCTCCAAACACCATAATTTTTTATTTTCATATTGCACATGTATAGAAGGGCCTACATTGCATTGTAAATTGATATTGTATATGGTGTATCTAATTTGTCCTATTTATTCTAGACCGTTTCTATTCTTATTTTATTTCTTATTACATTTTGCCCCTTGTGCTGCTATTCTTTTGTGCTGTGTGTCAAATTATAATTTCCTGTACGAGGACCAATAGAGGTACATCTTAATATTATCTTATCTTGACATATAAAATACCAACATTCTAGTAGTGAGTCGTGATGTCAACACAATTTTCATTTCCCACCAGAATAACCAACGATAGAATCGTTAGAATTCAACGTCTTTCTGGTGTCACATTGTCATCCAACCTCATTGAAAACAGAAACAACGATCTGAAAGACACTAAAACAAACTTTATATCGCTGAGGGAATCTGCAGCATCTGGTGATAATTCGCAGTCAGTTTGTCACTATAACTGACATCTTTCATATTACACAATACACAGTTTCTTCATTAATATCCAAATATTCATTAGCTCTAAGGCTCCATTTTCCACCAGTGTGAATATAATTCTCTGAGCTCTAAACAGTAAGATGTGTCATTTCCTCTGAGCCCACCTAATAGAATCACTGTATATATGAGGTCCCCAGACCTTTTTTATCAGGAGAGATGATGCAACCTCCTGCTGTCTCTGAGGGATCCAGCTGCACTTGTTTATCTGGTTTAATCAGCTGTGTGCTTTGGCTGACAAAGGTGGGATGATCCAAGAGCAGCTACAGACTTTCTGAAGCTAAACCAGAAAAATATATAGATATCAATTCACTGATAACAATAACAGAGAAAAGGACAAATCAGTCATTTTTTGGGGGGGTTGAGATGCTTCATTTTTCATTAGCGTTTACTGTTCTTATCTGTGAACTCATTCATTACTTTGAAGAGAGTCTCCACAACTCTTTCCCTTCCAGTTCCCTCTTTAATCTGCTTCTCACTTTTCTAATCAGTATCCAGGTCCAGGTCCAAGTCCAGGTTCAGGGCCCCTCTCACAGCTCCCCTCACAGGGATGAGAAATGTGAGGGGGGAAACACCCCTGGATCTGGCCTTCAGAATCTGAGCCAGTGGACTGAGGGAGGAATTCCCTCTGACTCTGACTGACTGGACACTGGGAGAGCAGCCTGGAAACGTGAGATCCCCAACCCCACCCCACCCCCCAATACAATGGAAGGATTTTTTTCACAATTTTCATCAGGCAGTGCAGCAACCCTCCATTCGATGACCAAGCATGGACACAGCTGCTTCCTAACAGAAATAACACTCACATCCAAACATGAAAAAAAAAAAAATGTTGAGCTGTTTTGGAAGGCATTTTAAACTAGAATCACCTCCTGGTGGTTGTCTGCCTCCTCCACTCAGACTAGTTCCAGGTCACATCCCTGTTTATCCAGAGTCAGAGAAAATATGAACCGTTTGTGTGACATTTTGTCATAATTGCTGGGAAGGCTTGTGTAACGGCTAAAAAGTGTTTTGTGGTCACACTGACCTTGACCTTTGACCTTTGATCACCAAAGTCTAATCAGTTCATCCTTGAGTCCTTGAATGTTTGTGCCAAATTTGAATTAGTTCCTCAAAGACGTTACAGAGATATCGCGTCTACAAGAACGGGACAGACAACCTTACGGCTCCTCTGACTGTCGCCGACACAGAGACATAAAAACAAAACCTAAAAGTGTCGTCATCACCTCCACAACTGAGGAGGAAGCCAAAATAAAAAGTGTAGGTGGACAACAAGCTGGACAACAACAAATCACCTGAGGCCCGACCTGAAAGTGTTTCTCTTGTTGATTGAAGGCTATTAATAAAGGAAACAGGCAGATGTCTTGAGGTTTGATAACTTCGCCACAGCAGAGATCTCACATGAGCGTGTCACAGAAACACATGGACACATTGAACCTGTTATGTGTCTATGAAGACGGGGTGCGATTCACAGCAGTATGTCTTAGCGAGGAACTTGGCAGCGTGGAGGAAGCCGGTGGAGGCAGCAGTGACATTTATATTCAGGTGTTTTAAATCACTCGCACTTGATCCAGCAGATGGTTGAGATAAATACGGACTCATCATCGAGGTTCAAGAATTTCAAATTAAAGGAGCAAACCATATCAGTATCATGTATACTTCACTGACAAACATCTTCCATACGTTTTATGTTGATTTCATACATTTAAGGCAATGCTTTCATTCTTTCCATTCTGTCACTTCTGTATCAAAATAGAAACTTGCTTTAAGTATTTCATGCATTATAATATTTTTTGCATGTTTTTTTTTTTTTGTCAAAGTTGTACGATACTGCAGATGTGAGTATGGGATGTTCAATTTACTTGACATCTTTTTAATTATTCCAACAACAAACTGAAGCTCATGGATAGAGCTGAAACTATTCATTGATTAATCGATCCACAAACATTTAGCAAATATTTTGACTATGGATTCAATATTTTTTTGTATTATTTTGGGCATTTTTGCCTTTTTTTAATTAGACAGTTGCAGTGAGAGAGAGAGAGAGAGAGAGACAGGAAAGTCAGGGAGAGAGAGGGGGGATGACACGCAGCACAGGTCAGATTCAATGCGGTAAGGACTAGGCCTTTGTGGTACGCACTCCACCAGGTGAGCCACTGGGGCGCCCCCGACTATGGATTAATTGTTTAAGTTCTTTTTTTTAAGCAGATATGACAAATGTTTGCTAATTTCACCTTTTCAAATGTGAGGATTTTCTGCTTTTCTCTGTTTAATGATCTTTTGGTTTGGGGCTGTTGGCTGAACATAATCAGACATTTGAAGACATCTCCTTGGGCTTTGGGAAATTTTCTGACATTTACGTAAGAGTAAATGATTGAGAAAATAAAAAAAATAATGTAGAAAATAATCCTCATATTAATCAGAAATCACAATAACCGTTTCTCACAATTTCTTTTTCACCAACCGACCCCGAGCCTTGGATGTCAGATGGATGTTTACTGCACCACCATGGAGCATTCTCATACAACAACATGCAGTTTTGGTGAATAAATAAAGTTAGAAGTTGATCACTGTCAGTTTTTTTGTGTGTTTTATAAGTTATTAGCTAAAAGCCAAGCCACAGTTTTTTCTCTTTAGTGGATAAACTGCATATCTTACATATTTATATACAGTGGAGTGTAAAGACTTGAGATCATAAAATCTCCTTCCTGAATGAAGCCTGTACCCGTCACACCTGAGCCTCAGTCTCATCGGGATCAGTCGCTGCTCTGTTGTGTTAACGGTAAGTTTAAAATGATCCGTTTTCCTGTGTGTATGTTGAGGCAAGATGTTTTCTAACGACCCGCATCAGGACATGCTGCCACCAGGCGTGTGAGTGTGAGAATACGACCAGTGTTACCAGAAGAAGACATAGTTGAACCTGAAGAAATAAACAGTCAGCCCTCATCTCCACCCTCCTGCAGTCTGCTGTTCAGTTGCCATGTGTGAACTGACTGACCTCCGCTGCTCTGTTTGATCTGGCTTTGACCTCCGGAGCATCTGGAGGCGGAGGGATATATCCTTTAAGTTCAAACCTCCATTACACGCACTTTTCAACACGTACTTAGATCCAGGCCGTAAGTTCAAGGCGTCGAGACATCGTCAAACCTCCACATGGTGTCATCACCTGTCTGGCAACTATCAAAATCACGGATGAATTATGGTGTTCAGATATTTTTCCTCACGCCACATCACGCAGCACATGTGGCAGAGTATCTCTCACATAATGAAACGGTAAAAAGAGAAATTTATTCTGATATAAAACAAAGGAAAAGCAGTAGTAAAACTTTATCTTTCGTCCGACTGAGGCCTCAACATTTACTGTTTACGTGTCTGTTGCCATGGCCCACTTTTCACTGTGCTGTCACATTTGATGTCGAGGATCTAATTGAAAACAAGAAAAAAAAGTCGATCTATTGATCTCTAAGTGTGTTTACAACAAAGTCCTAAAAATAGGCGCCGCACCAGTGTGACATCTGTGTCACGAGGCTCTGTGGACACATTGATTCACTCCAGAGACGTTTGACTGATAGAGACGGTTCAAACATCAAAGTCAGCATCAGCAAACACAGTGACTTTTTTAAATTTAGAAAAACGTTTTGTTTTTGTGCTTTTGATTTGATTTGAATGATTCATTAAATATGATTAAATTGAAAAAATAATACAAATACATTTGAGAAAGCGATCACAAGGTCCATTTAGT